GCACACAGGCGTTCTCTCCCTGCAAAGGGGCTTGTCTGCAGTATCCTTTATAAATGGACGCCGGCTTGTAAACACGGTAAGCTTCTCACTCTATTATTTTTCAGGGTGTTGCTTTTAAATCTGCAAGATGAGATATCCAATTAATCAAATAGGGCTGAAAGTGATGCTCAGAGATGGCACCAAGGCAGTCACGCAGCCAGTCCAATCCCCTCCTCCACCCTATTAGCTCAGTGCCAATGGATGCCGCTATGTTACGCTTGCAATTTGACTCATCATCTCCCTGGAGCATCTTTGGTTCTTATAGAATGCTTTCCTATGCTTAGTTTACATAATTATTGCACGTAAGGCAAGTGGAGGATGCATCAAAGATCTATGTGTGTATGGGTGTCTGTGAATGTATCTGGGCTCTTGTCCAGGCCCATAAGCGGTGGAAAGAGAGGGTAAAACAAGGAGAGTAAAAACCGCCATCACACAATAAGGTGCTCAGCACTTACAGATGGTTTTACATGGATGTTACTGTGCAGTGGGAGGTACACAAATCCCAAGGAGTTTGGCTCAGCAGGCAAGACAAGACAGCAAAATATGGCCAAGGAACATATAGGGTTTGGCAATGGAGCCTCTGTGAAGTAAAAAGAAAAGTATTAATTAATAATCTCCATCTTGAATAGAGATTTATTTGCATCTCTGCTGTAAATTTTGAAGGTGTGAGGTAGAACAAGCAGAGCAGGTCCATTAGTCAGCAGGAGAAACAGAGGACATCTTCTGTCTGTGCAGTCGTTCCAGTTTACAGCAGCTTTACTGCATTTTATTCCCGGCGAGGCTTGGGATTACTGTGCAGCATCAGATGAACATGTGTATTTGTACCGTACAGAGGGAGAGAGAGGAAAAAAGAGCGTTCTAATGTAGGGAGTGGTTGAGGGGCTGGGGGTGGGGGTGTGTGGGGGGGTTAACAGTAGAAAGGCAGATGGGGCAGAGGGGCGGAGGTTGATGCAGCAAAAAACAAGAATGGAGAACGAAGGAAAAGAGAAGATTTGGCACAGATGAGGCGGATGAGCAGGACGGGAGGTGGTGCTGGTAGATTGAAGGGGATGGTGATTGTTTCTGAGCATGTGACACAGAAAGAACGCTGGATGAGACTGTGAGAGCTCCGCTAGGCCCTGAGAGATCCCTGAATCCAGACAAAGATGGTGGACATCCCGCCTCATATTTCTGTCTCATATCCCACTGGATTTGAGATATCAGATTCTGCCAAACCCTCTCAAATTTGTGAGAAAAACAATTAGTTGACTGCGAAATGAGCTGCAAACTGCACCTACACTTAGTGCAAGGAACTATAACCTAAGCTATATGTTTCATGTTCAATAAACTACAATGACATTTTGGTATCAAGTTGTTTGAGTTGTAATTTTTGTTGCCAAAATATGCAGGTACTCTATGGTACCATGATGTAAAAGATGTTGCCACATCAGTTACTGGAAGAAAAAGTGTAACGCATTATCCAGAATCAGAAATGGCAGCGTAGCATGGACTGTTTGGCATACAAACAATCTTTTGTAGGCGTCATTGTGTCCTTGTGTGCTTTTATTTGTGGTGTTCTCACTCTCCTTCCTCTATATTCCCCTACTGTCTCAGTGACGGGTCGGTAACCATCCGAAGACGAAACAAGGTCACGTTGGCTGGAGAACAGAAGCTCAAAACTGTCTTAAAGCTTCACTGACAACTAATTTATCTTTTAGCCTGTTAGATCTGATTGTTTATATATAATATATATGTAATTTTTACATATATTTATTTATACATATATTATTCATGGGTCACTGGTGACGTTGGCTTTAAAATGAAGGCGGATAAAAATATCCTCACTTTAATGGTTTATTGTCAAAAGGAACACATTTTATCACTTTAAAAATGTAATAAAAACCAAACAACATAAATTAGATATTTGACAGCATAAAAACTACCATATTTTTTGGACTATACGGCACACTGGATTATAAGGTGCATCAAGCGAAACAGAACAGTCAGATAAGTTGAACTTTATTCAACTCATTCACAATAAATTTGGTTTGAGGTCACTAAGTACAAACAGAGTTAATACATAAGGCGCACCTGATTTTAAGACTCACTGTCGATTTTAAGTGCGCCTTATAGTCCGAAAAATACGGTAAGCACTGTTTTCCACATTGTGAACTAACTAAAAGGTGGGTGATCATGTAGTTGTCTGTGTCTGCTTATTTATCTGTCTCGAAGCAAAAAAAATCTCATGAACCATTGAACAAATTTGAATGAAACTCCCAGAAAATATTTACTGGATGTAGAGCATTCAAAGTCAGTCAGTTCAAGATGGCCGCCACAGCTAATTAACCACTAGCTGGTATGCCATTATGCTGCGAGAAAAGGCAAAGGACTTTCATAAGAGCTTCTAAAATGGCTGGAAATGTTTGCCAAGATTCTAAATCGCCTTATGATGTAAGTTGCATCTGTCTTGTGGATTTTGAGCATGTTCAAAGATTAGCAAGCATTGCTTTAAAGTAGCTTCAGAATTTTCACAGGTATCTGTCTCAAACTCTTCTCAATAGCTTCTGAAATTAGTTTTTGCAAGTTAACAATGCAAGCAATGTAAAAAAAAATGGAAAAATGTAAAATACTTACAGTCTCAACTGTCTCCAAATTGTCGTGCGCCGTTCAAATGATGGTTGGACAGATATCACCATTATTATAAAATCATTTTGTTGCCTAACTATGGCAGGACTGGCTATCATAGGATCATTTTCTGAATATTGCAGGATATTGTTGTCTGTGGCAAGACTACTTGGACACGTGCACAAGCAGAATGTAAGATTCTGGCAAATTTTATTGTAAGAATTGTCAGGGGTTTGTGAGACATTTGTGTGACGTGTGCAAAAAGTACAAATTTAGTGAAACCAGCAAACGATTGGCTAGCTAGTTCAACATTTGCAGCTATGTGAGTATTCTTTAGCAAACAGACAACAAGCAATAAAACTGTCCTTTTAAAAGCTATTGGGCTTAAATGTGGTAGTAGTTGAGGGTCATTCCTAACACATCCTCTGAGAAGATTTCATAATATAGTGTAGCATTGCAGAAAAAGTTATGACCAAAATGGCTAAAACACCATAATTTTTCAAGCCAAGATGATCCAAGTTTAAAAACTGTGACATAAATGGAAGTGTCTAACATTTATTAAGGCTTTTCCTCCTGTAACGTCAACGCATTTTTGCTCTTTGTATTGTTTGAACCGTATGACTGTGCGCTGCAACTCAAAGGGCCTTTATTCACGTAGAAATGGGTGCAACGTTGTGGCAAACCCTATGCTGCGTTGACCTCCTTCCACCTCCTTCGTTACTCTCTACCTCCGTTCCACGGCATGACATAATAGCAAAGGACAGCAGGGACAGACTTGGTTTTAAAGTGACAGAGGCTGGTGAGGTAGCAATTTTTGCACAGTGGAAACAGATGTCACAGTCCAGAGCACTTTAAGCCATTTTTATTTATTTTTTTTACCTTGTAGGTGAGCAAAACCTGCAGCTTGGACAATTAAAGTCAGCTCTATTACAGTTAAGTGCCAAGGGGGCCAGGCATAGTTCCCTCAGCTGCCTGTTTAATAAAATGATTAATTTAAGATGTCATTAAGTTTCTCGAGAGAGAGAGAGCAGAGGAGTTATCACAGACATCTTATTGGGGTTTTTGTGTGTGTGTGAAATCGAGAAAATACATTAACTAAAGATCTTTGGGTCTCAGATGTGTTGTCGTTCTGGTTCAGCTGGCTCAGCTGGCTCAGCACTTGTGTTTGTTTTGGGTCTTTAATTCCAGCCAGGTACCGGGACAAAGTGTCATCTCCAAACAGACATGTTTGGAAGCCATTTCTCTCAGACAGGCGCTGCTTCAGACAGGACTAATAAATTACCTAACAGCGGCACTACCGGGTCCAGTCGAACCAAATCTTTGCGTGGTTCGTGCGAACGAGCGAGGATTAAGTTATCTTTTGGTGTTACATAAAACAAGATGAGCTCAGTTCATCCCTCTCGTTCTCTTTGGCCTCTTTTCTAATCTTTGTCAGCAGTCGCAAACAGGGGCCTGGTCTGTTTTCTCGAAGTTGGCCAGCGAGAGGGCCTTACTTCGAGCACTCCGATCTGTGATGAGAGGGCAGAGCAGAGGGGACTAACAGAGAAACTTTGTGTTCCTTTGCACACACATAACAGCAGTCATATGACAACAAGGAGGTGGTGGTGGAGAGGGAGGGGGAGGATGAGGGTGCTGTGGCTTACTACACTGGTTTGGGCTGTCACACCGAGCTGTAAAAGCAGTCTGTCCAGTGTGTCTACATGAATGCACTTATACGACTGTTCGGTCTGGACTGCAGTTTGAGATCATAATGAATAAAAATAAGTTTACAGCAAAACAAGACGCTTATTTTGATGATGACATGCAGGTGTGCTTTTCCAAGAAAATACCTGCCAACGGCTCGAGGCTGCGCTGCACGTCTGCGACCTTAACAGTAACCAGGCCTTCCTTTGAGCGTTTTCCTCAAAGTTTCTACAACTGATGCCAGAATGTAATTAAATTCTTTGGAGCGATCAATGGGAGAAGTTATCGTTCTGGTATGAACATGTGACTCTTTCCTCACATTTTCTCTTCATATCTCAATTTCTAATCAATAACCTGCTCAAAGCTAGATTAAACTAACTTTACAGAGATGTGATTTGCAGTTTTATTAACAATTATTTCAACATTTACATCTTAATAGAAACATTAACTTTACAAGGAAAGATTGTATTTTTTTTTATTTGGGGCTCTATGTAAAGGTTGAGAATAATTAATATCTTACCTGTTGTAGATAGTTCTTTGAACTACTTAAATCTGATGAAATGGTGTTTATTGGGGACCAGAGTGATGAGCTAATAATAATAAATGTTCTGTTTGCAACATATAACTCAATAAAGATGCTATTGAAGGTTTGATGTAAGATGATTCCATCATTTGCATCAGTTTCTCCTCTGAAGTTTCAACTTTAAGATGGAGGCTGTTTTTCTTTTACTAATAAAAGCAGCTTTTTAT